AGCTTGGCGTACAAACTCCAACCTGCCATCATTTTTATTGATGAGGTTGACAGCTTTCTTGGTCAGCGCCGTTCAACAGATCATGAAGCAATGGCGAACATGAAGACTGAGTTTATGGCTTTGTGGGATGGATTTTCTACTGATCGTAAGTTGGATTCTTCATATTTCGGCTTGCTTTAACATGCAGGGTAGTGCAGTAGGGAGTATGCTCTACATGGGTATGGTTATTGATGAACATAATGGTTGCTTTGTAGCGAATGCAAGGGTTATGGTTCTTGCTGCAACTAACAGACCATCAGAGCTTGATGAAGCAATATTGAGGCGTCTTCCTCAGGCCTTTGAGATTGGAATGCCTGATCGACGTGAGAGAGCTGAGATATTGAAAGTGACTCTGAAAGATGAGAATGTTGAACCCAATATTGACTTTGATCACGTAGCTCGTTTATGCGAAGGCTATACCGGATCAGACATTTTTGAGCTCTGCAAGAAAGCAGCTTACTTCCCTATCAGAGAAATCCTAGAGCAAGAGAGAAAAGGGAGACCATGTTCGGTAAGTTTAAAAGGAAATCATTGGTCCGAGGAACGTTGCATCCACCATATTTCAGAGCAGTACTGATGTTGTAAGTTGCTCACATTTACAGGTCCCTAGGCCATTATCACAGTTGGATCTGGAGAAGGTTCTTGCTACATCAAAGAAGACACAAGTTGCAGCAGGCGAGTACTCTGGATTGAGCTCGCAGTCCTCAGCTTGGAGAAGCTCAAGGGATCCAGATGACGTCCAAGCAGCTATAAGTGGAATCTCAAAGCTTCTAGTCTCTCAGTTCATTAACCTTCAGCAGTCAGATTCTCAGGATTCATGGCAGCGTGATCCCGAGGAAGATTCCCGATGAAATTTCGGATCTCTTTCATAAATGTTCTGGTTTCATGGGAATTTTCCACATTTCACTTTGTTCTCTGCTACTTGGTTTTCAATATATATAGAGGAGGATCATTTCCGTTCATTTTGGTTGTATTAAAAAGCTTTGATCTTCTGCTCTACCTAATCTCTCTACTGTTCATAGTTTTGTTAACTGATTCAGAAATAATCAATATATGAATCCGTGGACCCTCTAACCCTAAAAATCCAAGCTTTGAAATTATTAGCGTCTGTAACGGCCAATGGTGGGCTTTGATTGGTTTAGACTGGGCTTTGTATAGTCAGTCAAATAGAGAGATAAAGTGTCTTCCTTTTCTATTTCCCAATTTCGTTTTCTTCTCCTAAACAAGAATCAGAGATTAGATCATCGATTCAATTGACACTCTTGGAAGGTAACGTTTGATCTCTCTTTGAATCTGCAATTGTTCTTAGTTTTGGGTCTCACTTTGATCTAACCAACTTATCATCGAATCGAGTCTTGCTCTAATCACTGAACCATTACATTCCATCTGATTCTGGGGATTCGTGGCTTTCGTTTCCTTGTTTTGGTTTCATGAATTGGAAACATGGGTTTGCTTCGTTTTCGTTTTTTTCATAGCTGAATCGTGAACTCGAGTTCTGTCTCTCCGCAAATTCGAATCTGCTCGAGCTTTTAACCGTAAGCATTGGGTGTATTACAATCGGACATGATGCTGATTTTGTTCTCTTTTATCGAATTGAACAGGTTATAGTGATTGAGATCTAGTCTTCTAATCATGGTAAGTGCTCTTAATTACTAGTATAAATTTGCATTCTTTGCTTCTTGTTGCTGCCTCTCAAACACACAGTAAATGCTTATAGCGTTTTGTGTTCACTGTCACAGAATTATCTTCTTGGAGCCTTCAAGCCCGCTTGTAATATCTCAATCGCTTTCTCTGATGGTAAAAACCGTAAGCAGGTATCTAATTTTGCTTCTCTCTTTTGTTGTAATGGAAGCAATTGGCCATTGTCTTACTATGATGATCAGAGTCACGTTTTCAGATTTTCTTATTCTCCTCTTTAATCTCCATTACTTCCCTAGGTACCCATGAAGAAAGAAAATGGCCAAACTGCTATGGTGCCTCTTTTCCAGAGTCAAGAAACTATTTCTGGGAAGGTATTTGGTTTCTTGCTCAACCTAGATGAATTTCAGCTGTTCCATATATGATGTTGTGATGCATTGGTGTAATTGGTCCTTAACGTCTTTGTTAGGTTTGCATTGAACCATATCAAGGGAAAAAAGTGGAGCATAACGGTGTAAAAGTTGAGCTTCTTGGTCAAATAGGTATGCAATTGCCATGATCTGTAGATTTGCCACCAAAAGAGTCTTAATGGATTAATTAACCGGTTTCTAAATTATATACCAATTTATGCTTATTGATGGCATTTGTGTTCTCGACAGAAATGTACTTTGACAGAGGAAACTTCTACGACTTCACTTCCTTGGGTGAGTAAAGACTCAGGATTTTGTTTCCCTTGTAAATCGTTACAATTTGACTGTGATAATTGATTACCATGACGTTACATTCATGTTCCAACACCACTAGATATTTTTGATTGAGCCAATTATATCTGTAATTCATTTTTATGTTTCTCCTTAATTTCAGTTCGTGAACTCGATGTCCCTGGTGATATATATGAAAGAAAGACATACCCTTTTGAATTTCCAACTGTCGAGATGCCATATGAGACATACAATGGTGTGAATGTGCGGCTAAGGTAATATCATATGTTTCTCTTTTCATAAGGTTGATACACTTGTGTTCCTCAATACAGTTTCTACTACAATTTGCTGCTTTCTTTGTTACTTCAGATATGTCCTCAAAGTAACCATCACTCGTGGCTACGCTGGGAGCATCTTGGAATACCAGGAGTTTATGGTATGTTTCTTCCTTTTTGCTTCGTGTCAATGTTCCGAAATAGTAAATTGTGTTATGGCTGATGATTTTCCAATCAATAATCACCAGAATTATTTTAATCGTGATATTGTTGATGTCGTTTGATTAGGTCAGGAACTACGCTCCATTACCTGCAATTAATAACAGCATCAAGGTGAGTTCTGATAGTTGTAGGATCCAAGTTTGAAACTTTATAAGAAAAAATAGGAACTGTACCACATTTCAAAAAGGCCTAAGATACAATCACGTATGAGTCATGATATTGAATCCTCTTTCACTTAAGCTCACACATATTGAGCTCCTTTTCGGCTACTTGTTCAAAAAGATGTCAGTATGCTTCTCTTTGCTGCTTGGAGAGTTCTTAGGCAAGGCTTAAATCATTAGCACTATTTGAGCCATAATTTCATTGGATCTTACTTATTGTGCAGATGGAAGTTGGAATTGAGGATTGCCTGCACATCGAGTTTGAGTACAATAAAAGCAAGTAAGACAAAATTTGTTTCATGATACAAGGATCTGACTGACTGATCGGGAAATGATTACAGATCCTCTATGCCTTTGGATGCAGATATCACCTAAAAGATGTTATCCTTGGGAAAATATATTTTCTTCTCGTGAGAATCAAGATGAAGAACATGGATCTTGAGATCAGACGACGGGAATCAACTGGTGCAGGTGCTAATACTCATGTCGAGACAGAAACACTTGCGAAATTTGAGCTGATGGATGGAACTCCTGTTAGAGGTAAATGCCTAGATTTGAAAATCTGGTGTGTTATTGCTTTTAAGAAGTTGAATAACTGAGTGAAGATCTTGCAGGTGAATCAATACCTGTAAGACTGTTCCTAGCCCCATACGATCTTACACCAACGCATCGCAACATCAACAACAAATTCAGCGTCAAGTATTATCTGAACCTTGTGCTGGTAGATGAAGAGGACCGCCGATACTTCAAGCAGCAAGAAATCACGTTGTACAGGTTGAAGGAAGACACATCTTCTTGATGACAATAATAGTGAGGATTCTCAATATCCTTTTGAAACCTTTTGTAAAGCCTTAGACTTTGTGTACCCAGATTTAGTGAAAGATTGTTATTTGGGTCGGAACTTAGAATGAAGTTTAAATGGTTGTTCATCTATCAAGTTCCTTTTCTCTTGGATTCTGCTTGAGTTTGATTGATTTCATTTTGAAACCTGAAGTTTTACATCGCAAACCTTAAAAGTTACAACACTCTGAAAAGCCAAATCTCTAAATGCAACTACCTGAATTCGACAGATATACAAAACTGAATAAATCTCAGAGTGCAGAAGTTTGTTAGTCTTCGTCTTCAGTTTCAACAGGAAGGCCTTCCTTGCTCCATGCGTAGATTCCACCTTCAAGATGAAATACATTCTTATAGCCGTTCAGGACCAGAACATAAGCAGCTATGAGAGACCTGCAAGAACAATTCTATTCATATCAAGCAGTAAAACAAACCACACAGAGTTGCAGACATTTGATATTACCTCGATTGTTGGCCTTCAGGGAGATTCTGGGTTGGCTTCATAGTACCAGCGGATGAACATGCTACTATAATCTTGGCATCTTTGTCAAGCTTAGCTTCTACACCTGCAACAATCAAATATGTCAAAATCATTCCAGCACCATTGTGGAAATGGTCTATAGCTTTTATCTTGTTTCAGTGCATACTTTGAACGAACTCGGGATTCTCTTCTGTGCCAGAGAAGATACCAAAGAAAGCAAATCCAAGACGACGAGCTATGTCCCATGCCGTCCATTCCCTTATCAGTCTGTACATCTCCACATTGATAGCTCCCGGAGGATGACCCTTTTAGAGCCAAACAACATAACACAATCTCACTCACATGAACTTGCCATTAAATCTACAAGGGATCAGAAAACATATTATCATTGCTACTCACCGCCTTGTACTCTGCCTCTGGTCTTACATCAAGAATCACAAAGTTATTCTCATTCTGTAACCGTAGAGCTTCCTTCACGTCCACACTTCTCACCTACAACAAACAGGGTCAATTAGCTAACATTTTCAATCCTCAAAATCTTATCTTTGACCAATTTATTACAATCTTGATGTGACATACCCTTTTCTCCAACAGAAGCTCTCTCTTCTGTCTCCAATCGACTTCAGCTAAACCCTCCAAGCAGAAGAAGAACAGCATTCAATCTAACCGACTTGTATTCACATTTTCAAAATCGATACAGGGAAGCTCTCGCTCAACGAGTTGTACTGTATACCTGCAGGTTTCGTTGAAGCGCATCGAATCTTGACAAGTGATGATGATGAAGTCGTATGACCGGAACCCATTGTTGCCGATCTGACTCCGGCAGAGAAAAGAGTGGACTTCACTCGCGATGAAGATGGGTAAGGCGTGGCGATGGAAGTAAGTGAAGCCATTTCTTCTTCTCAGATATTTTTCCTGGAAAATGAGAGAAAATTAATCGCAGGAGGAATAGTGGAAGAGAGAAAGAGACATAGATGAATAAGAAATCTGAACATGTGGTTCTTGTTTTCTTTGATCGATTTTCATCGTTTCGATTCTATCTTTTTTGAAATCAAAATGATCACAACATTATCTTCTTGTATAGTTTCAATTCTTGAGTTTTGATTGGATCAGTTAGATTTTGTTCACCTGTTTTTTTTTTTTGATTGGACCGGTTAGATTTGGTTAACCTATTTGTTTTTCACTTTCGATAACAAAAATGCATGTGTCGATCCATTAAACAATTATTTCAGAATGGCAGTAAAATATCAAACGAAAATCATGCCAAAAGCAATAAGATGTATTTAGTCAATCAAAATAAAACAATAAGAAAATAGTTTCCGGAAATACTCCATAAACCACTAAAACTATTTGTGTCGTTCTTCATCTTTTTTCTTAATGGAACTCCTAAATCTCTTAGCGCTCGTTCTTCTGCTCTTTGTTGTTCGCAAGATATGGGAAGCTTGTTGGATCCTTGTTTTGCGGCCAGTGATGCTATCAAGAAGATTCAAGGAATCTCGGGACCAAAATACAGAATCTTGCACGGAAACCTCCCCGAGATAAAGAAGAAGACTGACGAAGCTAAGCTTGGGGTTCTTGATCCCAACTCCAACGATATCTTCCCTCGTGTGTTTCCTCATTATCACCAATGGATGTCTCAATACGGTAAACACAACAAGTTGTCTCTCATATATATTAGGAGAAACATTTCTATATTGGAATGGAACAAAACCGACGATATACATCTCAGATCTAATTAAATATTTCCAGGCCATGACGAAACCGATGGTGGATTGCTCCTTGAGGATGTTCGACGATTGGAGAAAACAGAGGAATGGTGAAGTGGTGATAAAGATGGAGATGAGCAAAGAGTTCCATAGATTGACCGCGGATGTTATAGCGACCACTGCGTTTGGAAGCAGTTACGCCCAAGGCATCGAATTGTGTAGATCACAGCAAGAGCTTGCGAAATATTATATTACTTCTCTCACTAAAGCTTTCATTCCCGGAATCCAGTAAGTAAAAATTATTGTCAACACACTAAGCTACTTTCAGACAAATTATTGAGAATGTTGCTTCTTGTGATCCAAGATATATTCCTACGCCTACCAATCTTCAACTTTGGAAACTCGATAGGAAAGTGAAGAACTCGATCAAAAGAATCATAGATACAAGGCTAAAATCAAAATCCAACAACTACGGAGACGATCTTTTGGGAATCATGTTGAAAGCTGCAACATCTGACAAGCCTGAGAGAAAGATGAGTATTGATGAGATAATAGACGAATGCAAGACTTTTTACCTCTCAGGGGAAGGAACTACTTCGATTCTATTGACATGGACTACGATGTTACTGAGCTTGCACCAAGACTGGCAAGACAAACTCAGAGAAGAGGTTTTCAATGAGTGTGGTAAAGATAAGAGACCAGACTCAGACACCTTATCCAAACTCAAACTGGTAATGTTCATTTTAAAAAGGGTTTTCCTTTTCCTGTGATTTGAGAAACCTATTCATCTTGTAGATGAACATGGTGTTGATGGAGTCGCTTCGTCTGTACGGACCCGTGATTAAAATGTTCCGAGAAGCAACACAAGATATGAAGCTAGGACACTTGGACATCCCCAAGGGCACGAGCATTATCCTCCCGTTTCTGAAGATGCACAGCGACAAGGCCATATGGGGAGAAGACGCCGAACAATTCAACCCTCTGCGATTTGAAAACGGCGTTTCCCAAGCCACCACACACTCAAACGCTCTCCTCGCGTTCTCTGTCGGACCAAGAGCTTGCATTGCCCAAAACTTTGCCATGATCGAAGCCAAGACTGTGATCGCTATGATCCTTCAACGGTTCCGGCTTAGCCTCTCACGCGAGTATAAGCACGCGCCGGTTGATCTCTTCAATCTCTATCCACAATACGGCCTACCCGTAATGCTTCATCCTATCGATAGCAGTTCTCAACGGTGACAAAAAGAACAAAAAGACGGTCTCAACGGATTTGGTCGAGTTATGTTCTTGAATTGGGTTTGATCACAAATAAAAGTTAAGATGACGTACTTCAATAAAGTGGAGATGTATGATTATTTTGTCAATGCATTGCGTGGGTGAATTTAAAAATTAACATGGTTAAATATGTAATATTTTTAGCTTATTGATTATTTATGTATTTAATATTATCAAAAACTGTTGTTGTACTAAGTAATTATCTAGATTAGAAGATTAACCATTTGGACTAAATTATTGGACATATATAATTTATATGTGAAAAACAAATTGTTCTAATAAAAATTACAACGTATGCATATGAAAATATCTTCTTTTGCATAAATCTGCAACTTGTATGACTTTAATTTATCAATATTTCACTACAGTTCACTAAAAAAATTGATTAGTCATATTTTTTCTTGCATCAAATACGTTTGTAAGGAAAACCAGACAAGTTGTAGTATGTTTTGTTTCTATCAAAACATCAGCATTATCTCAACAGAGATGTTGGAATGCATCTTTGTGTTTTAATTCGTTAGAATTTAAAATTTAAGGAAAGGATAATTGATGTTTGATTGTATTTTTTTTGTTTCACATAAATTCATTTGTGAATTATTATGATTTTTATCTTTCACATAATTCATTTGTGAATTATTATGTTTTATGGATTCACAATTTGTGGAGGAGTAAGGTTTCCTTTCCAGTGTATTGGTTAGGAGATTATTGACAATTTTAGCATTCTAACAACCTTAAAATTTCTAAAATCACTAATTAATTTTATGACACCATTTTTTTGTTAATGTTAAGATTCTTTTTATTCAAGCTTTTGTGACTTTTTGTTTTAAAATCGTAGTTACCTATCAAAAGTTTTAAATATTTTTGTATAATATATTGTTGGTTTTAATAAATAAAATATATATTTTCAAACCGTTAAAAGTTTACAATAACACATTTAATTTGTATTTAATTTGGTATTATAATTTTTGGTGGATATCAAAGAAAGAAAAAAAACAGAAATTGGTCATCCTTATATTACACTTTAATTTTTGGAATTAACTTATATTAAACTTAGCTATTAAATTGTATGAATTAATTGTTAAAGTTATTAGAAACACTTAATTTTTTTTAATAAATAAATCAATAAGACAAATGTCAAAATAATAATTGACACATGGCGAGGAGTAAGGTTTCATTTCAAGAGTATTGGTTAGGAGATTATTGACAATTCTAGCATTCTAACAGCCTTAAAATTTCTAAAATCACTAATTAATTTTCTCACACCATTTTTTTTTGTTAATGTTACGATTCTTTTTATTCAAGATTTTTGTGAATTTTTGTTTTAAATCGTAGTTACCTATCAAAAGTTTTAAATATTTTTTTATAATATATTGCTGGGTTTAATAAATAAAATATATATTTTCAAACCGTTAAAAGTTTACAATAACTTATTTAATTTGAGATTATAAATTTTGGTGGATATCAAATAAAGAAAAAAACTGAAATTGGTCATCCTTATATTACACTTTAATATTTGGAATTAATTTATATTAAATTTAGCTATTAAGTTGTAAGAATTAATTGTTAAAGTTATTAGAAACACTTAATTTTTTTTAATAAAT